TTTTTTTTTCTATCATGAATGAGTGTTGGACTTTGTCGAAAGCTTTTTCTGCATCTATTGATTTATTTTACTTCTTTCTTTTATTTTCTTTATTTAGGACAGGGTGTCCAGGGTCTCACTATGTAGACTGGACTCATAGTGATTCTCCTGTTTTCAGCTTGCCAAATGCTGGGATTATAGACACACACCATCACACCTAGTCTCAATAGCCATTCCAACATGCCCTGCAGGTGGGGCCAGCACGGTAGACCAGGGATTGAACCCTGGCTGCTGCGCTCTACCTAAGCAGATGCTTTAGTCCACTGAGCTATCAGGCTGGCCTTCAGCATCTATTGAGATGATCATATGATTTTTTGTCTTTGGCTCTGTTGATGTGATGGATTGCATTTATTGATTTGCATTATGCAGAACCATCCCTGCATTCCTGTGATCAATGTCACCTTGTCATGGTGCATAATCTTGATTGTTTGCTGTATTCTGTTTGTTAGTATTTTACTGAGGATTTTTGCATGTATGTTCATTAGGGAGATTGGCCTATAGTTCTCTTTTTTGGTTGGGTCTTCTCTGGTTTTGGTATCAGGGTAATACTTGCCTCTAGGAGGGAGTTAGGGAGAATTGCCTCTCTTTTAATTTCATTGAAAAGTTTGAGAAGAATTGGCATTAAATCTTCTCTAAACTTTTTGTAGAATTCAACTGTGAATCTATCAGGACCTGGGCTTTTCTTTGTTGTTAAGTTTTTAGTTATATTTTCAGTTTCATTCTCTGATATTAGGTTATTTTTATATCTTCTTGATTCAGCTTTGGTAATTTTGGTAATTTATATGTATCTAGGAATCTGTCCATTCCTTCTGTGTTTTCCATCTTTTTAAGAGTAAAGATTTTCAAAATAGGTGTTGATGATCTTCTGAATTTCTATAGGATCTGTGGTGATTCTACCCTTTTCATTTCTTATTGCATGAATTTGAATTTTTTCTTTCTTTTTTCATAAGGTTAGCAAGGGGTTTATTGATTTTTATTCTTTCAAAGCATCAACTCTTTGATGCATTAATTTTTTGTATTGTTTTCTTAGTCTCCATTACATTAATTTCTGCTCTGTTCTTTATAATTTTCTGCCTTCTTTGGGCTTTGGGCTTGACTTGCTGTTCTTTTTCTACAAACTTGAGGTGCAGCATTAGGTTGTTTATTTGGGCTTGTTCCCTTTTCCTGCTGTGATAATTTACCACTAAAAATTTTCCCATAGGACTGCTTTCATTGCATCCCATAAGTTCTGCTAAGTTGTATCTGCATTTTTGTTTGATCATAAATATTGTTTAATTTCTTGTTTAATTCCATCTGTGACCCATTGATTGTTTAGGATGCTGTTATTTAATTTCCATATGTTTATGGAGTTTTTGCAATTTCTTTTGTCAATAATTTCCAGTGTCATTGCACTATGGTCAGATAATATGCCTGGGATAGTTTCAATTAATTTGCATTTACTTAAGCATGTTCTGTGTGTTGGTAGATGGTCTATTTTGGAGAATGTCCCATGTGCAGCTAAGAAGAATGTGTATTCTGATGTTGTTGGGTGGAACCCTATATAAGGGTCTACTAAGTCCGTTTGTTCATGAGTTTGGCTTAGTTCTGTTATTTCTTTGCTGATTTTTTGGCCTAGTTTATCTATCTCTTTGCAACAATGGGATGCAAAAGTCCCCTGTTACAGTTGTGTTACTGTTCATTTGAGTTTTCATGTCTGTTAAAATTTGTCTTATATGGTTGGGTGCTACTTCTTTCAGTGTATATATATTTATTATTTCATTTTATTTTATTGAGAAATAAGTAGCAATAAGACAGTTTTAAAACTGATTAATAGGACAGTTTCAATAATTAATACATTCTACATCGTTATCTTCTTAGTGGTTATCCATAGTACAAGATGCAGACAGAATATCCTGTCCAAACACTATTAGTACAAATCTTTCTTCTCATTGAATTAAGCGAAAGTAGCTGTATATCTATCCTAACTATTCTGCATATACA